GTGGCCCCCGCCTCCCCCAAACCCCGAAACCCCCCCCCCCCCCCGACCCTCTTCCCCACTTCCGCCGCAGCACAGTCCGAGCTTCAGCGGCCGCTTCCTGCCGATTTCCGCCGCTCTAATCCTTTAGATCCGGTAACATTTTTTCCGACATTTTGCTAAGCTTCTGCCGGGCAGTCGCTGCTTTTCAGTGGGTTATCGCAGACCCGCGTCCTTCCTTGTCCCAGCTCCTGCTCCACTTTTATAGCGCAGATTCCGGACTTCCTTGACGGAGCTCGAGATGCCGCGGCGCTCACTCGCTCGGCTCAATGACCGGTTCCAGAGCTCCGTGAAGAGCCCGGCTTCAAAATATGTTCACCAGCGGCAGGGGGACGAGACAAAAACAACAGAAGCGATTCAGGAACCGAGATGGACTCTGCCGGTGCGGCTGCTCCCTGACAATATGGCTGAATCCAGGTCGAGGATTCTGAGACGGCTGGACACACACACGAACACATCCGGTCCACTCTTCCAAAACACTTTCACAATAAAACCAAAGCCGTTAAAGTCACTGTATGGCTTAAAGCCAGACACACTCTTTTGGTTTTATTTCGAAGGGAAGAATATTTTATTCGGAAGTGGTTACGTGCGGCTCTATGCTAACTTGACTTATCTGTCTTCTTCTCCTTCAGGAACACGAAGACCCAGCCCTCTGAAACGGAAATGCTCCGGGTGAGTGACGTCATGTCGCAATTGGCAGAAATCTGGGTTGACCCCGCCTCCTTGTTTTGATTTTTTTTTTTTTAGAAATTCTTTTAATACAACATGAAAAATGATAAACATTTAACAATTATATATATATATAACAATTATTTAAAATAAAAATGTATTCAGAAAGGTATATATAAATAAAAGAATATAGTGACAAATTTAAAACGTCAAAGACACGGTCTCTGGTCCTGAAGCCTGACTCAGAAACACGAGCGGGGTGGAAGTTCAGCACGTCCAGAATCTGAGGTTCTTTTAGAGAAAAGGAAGACCAGGACAGGAAGTGAGGTCTTTGATTTAATACAGAACATTGTCACAACATCACCAATGTGGAAACAAAGAACTGGATCAATCTGGTTTCAGAGAACCTGGCCAACAAAGGCCAAGACCAGAATCCACCTTCTCGGTTCTGTCACCATGTTCAAAGACGACTCCTGCAGAAATCACTAGCTAATATACTGTACGTGGACTGACATGCACCCTCTGCTGGCAGATCAAAAGTTACAAGCTCACAACATAGAAGTGAAATGCCAACAGTGTGTAACTTGCTAACGAGAGAAGACGCTGGTCTTGAGTTTGTCCGTGGGTTTGAGGCGAAGTCTGCAGAAGAATGTAGGACTGCCCCCGCTGGAGACACGGTTCTCCTTCACACTTCGGAGTATGGACCGAATGTTAGTGCCGGATAAACCTTTTTTCACCAACAACAGCGCCACCACGTGGTCGTTACTGTAGAGAGAGCAGAAACAGGAGTCAGGGGTCAAATCTGGAAGGCCACAGAACTCAGGCAGTGGTACCAAAGGTCAGAGGTCAACACCTGATGTCTGGGAACTTTCTGGACAAAGAGATCATCTCCAGTTGAACGGCGTTCGGATCCTGAAGACACATGACCTCCGAAACACAAACCATGACATCACTCAGCCACTGGGTGGCACTGTAGTCCTGAGGCCAGAGGACAGTGTCAGACCTGGGACTGGTGAGTACCTGGTACCGACTGTGTGCTGTGTGCTGTCTTACCCCATCTTTGAAGAATTCATTGATCATGCCAGCGTCGTCTTTCATCTGCTGAGCTCCAATCACCTGCTGCTCTGTGCTCTTCTTCGAGCTCTTCATCAGTTTCTTCAGGTACTGAAGGACCAGGTCCTCGTGGACGGAGCGCAGCAGGACCTGTAGAACCACACACACCCTTTTGAAGCTAGAGAAGACAGGTGTGGAACATCCAAGCAGATACTGTACCTTCTCACCTCTCTGCAGTCTGATCTCAGGTCCTTCAGGTTCTCCAGATGTTGATCCAGAGACTCCAACAGAGACTGGACAACAGGAAGTGACCCATTTATCCAGGAAGACGTCCAAAGCCCAGAGACACACAGCTGCAGAGAAGACAGGCCTGAGAACATTTCCCAGATCAGGGTACAGAACGTAGAACTGTTCTCAGTTCTCAGTACCTTCAGGTGGACATGAATAGGAGCCGTGAAGAACCTGGACTCAAACGTCTTCAGGTCATCGAGGACGCGGAGACAGCAGCTTCTCTGCTGCTCAGACACCACGTCCATGTTTGTGATGTAATCCCTAAACAGAGACAGGTGAGTCGTCTGCAGAAGAGCAGGGACTTCTAGTACCGATCAGGATGGAACTGACCTGAGCTGCTGCTCGCAGACCAGCTGACCTTTGACCACCGAGGCCACGTTAGCCGGGGCCGTCTTCACGAACGCTGCCAGACTCTTCTCATAGCTGCAACAGTGGTCACATGATCGACACTGGCCACGCGGTCAACTCAGCAATTGTAAGTGGGCGGGGCCTACCTCCTGAGGAAACTCTCCAGATGAGCTGTGACCCTCTGACCTTTGTTCTGGTCCTGGACTACACGACCCAACTCATTCAAGAAACTCTGGACCATCTAGAAACACAACACCGCCCAGAACCACAAGTCAGACACAGTGTCACACACCCCCTGAACTCAGACACAAACACAGTGCCCCCACCAGGAAGTCACCTGGATTGCATCATTGGCAAAAGGACTGAAGTAGTACGAGTCGATCAGTTCCAGGTCTTTTCCACTAGTCCAGGTCTCTCGCTCCTTATTCAAGGCCATGTTGAACCAGGTCTTGATTTGGTCCTGAAGTCAAGGACATAGAGGTCAATAAATAGCCCTTCCCCCCAAGATCTCTCCTCACAAGAACCCTGGGATGCTACTCTGTTAAGGTCCAGTACCTCTTTGTGGGTCAGGTACTGTTCCTCTCGTGGAGTCAGGTCTTCCTCCAGCAGTAGAGACCCCAGGCTGCTGGTCTGTACCAGTCCACCGAGGTCCTTGTGTTTAAGGATGCTCCTGTGAAACAAATACACGGTCAGTTCTTGGTTCGGCCCAGACCAGTCTGAAAAGGTTCTGGACTCACTCTGGATAGTAGTGGTTGACCATAAAGAGCAGGTAAACGCAGTCCTCGACGTCCAATTCAGACCCGGCGATCTGGATCAGCTGATCAGAAAAGCCCTGGTGGTAGACCCTGGCATATGTGTTTAAGACATCCAGGTGAGGAGAGGAACTGTCCCCGAGATTCTGGACCAGCATGAGCAGGTCCTCCTCTACCTGCTTCCCAAGATTATAAACCTGCAAAAAAATCACAGATCAAAGAACACAGTCCTCCATTTATCCACCAAAGATCAAAGGTCAGCTCTAATGTCTTTAATGTTTCAAGACAGAATCTCTTTATCTATAACATTGGAGATTAAAGCTAGCATTTAATCTCTAACATCAATTATTGTAACCTCTCTTTAATCTCCAACATCAAAGTCAATGTCCATATTATAATTATGAACCATTCAGTGCCATCTTTAATCTTCCACTTCAAAGTCCAGGTCTAATCCATTCTGTTAGTTTGCATGGTTTGATCATAATGAGAACATCAAAGGGTTTAGCTACTGCTTTGATCTTTAAAATCTCATTCCTAGCCATCATTCATCGTGAGCTTTTATCTCTGAAATGAAATAATAAAAAATCAGGGATTATGTCTCTGAAAGTTAAAGGGTTAAGTCTCAGATCAGTCCCTCACATCAAAGAATAAATCTAAGCGTTCATCTCTAGAATTAAAGATCAAAGTCACTGACTTGTCTCTTCAGCACCGAGGACAGTTCCTGTTGTTCTCCAGAGACCTGCTGTTCTCTGGCGTTCCTCAGTCTGGCACTGACGATGTTCTGAAGCAGAACGTCGTGGGCGTGTCTACACTTCAGAGGACGCCACGGTGGACGTGTGTCCTCGGGAGCTGATGTCCACAGCTGGTCCTGCGTCTCCTGCTGCTGAATACAGATGACTGCACTCCTCAGAGCTGACGGCTGGTCGCTGAAGGTCTTCTCTACCACGGTCTGGAGCTGGACTTTCAGATCCTCAAAGTCCTTGTGCAGCTGCTCCTTGGCCGCTTTGTCGTCCTCACTGGAACGGTCCTGACTGAAGAGCTGCGCCTCCCTCTCCAGCAGCCTGCTGCTCACCTCCTCCATCTGCTCCTCCTGGTGTGTCACCTGCTGGAACAGCTGCTGATGCTCCTCTGCCAGAACAAACACAGAGACTGGAACCAGGACTGACCAGGTTCAGTTTCACGTCTCACCTGGGGTTCTTCTTCTTACCTTGTTCCTGCCTCTGGTTTTTGTTCTTTCTGCAGAAGGTTCTTGGGTTCTTCCACTGACGCCTCTCTTGGTTCTCCTCAGCTTCTTCTATTTAAGACAAAGGAACTGATTATTGAAGGTAGACAAATGACATCTGAGCCACTGACATCTGAGCCACTGACATCTGAGCCACTGACATCTGATCTTACCTTCACGGCAGACCTGACAGCAGCTCAGCATCTCGATGAACAGGACCGGCACAAGGACTAGGATCAGAAGGTGCAGGATCTGGACCAGGATCTGGATGACAGTGCTCGTCTTCTCTTCTGCACCAGAAACACTTTCACTTTCACTTTCCCTTCGCCCCACCTACCCATAAGTCTGACGTCTCAGCTGAGTGTGTGTGTGTGTGTGTGTGTGTGTGTGGTGCGGTGCGGTTCTGCAAAGCCTGATGGGATGCCTGATGCTTGACTGCGTCCAGTTCCAGTTGGAAATGGAGCGACCTACAAACTTTAACAACAAAAACACATTCTTTTGTTTATTTGTTTATTCAGGTTGATGACATCATCACAGCAATGAAAACAAGGAGTGGTTCCCATAGCAACGATACAGCATCACTGAGTGACATCCGAGCAGCGGCCAATCAGGTGAGTGCGTGTGTGGCTGTACATTCTGATTAGCTGCAGAACATCCTGTGACCTTTGATCAGTTTGAGAGGTCAAAGGTCACTTATATTTCTAATGACAGCATTTTAACTATAATAATCTGATGTCCACACAGACTTACATACTGTATGGGGAAGTGGGCGGAGCCTCAACAGCATTTCCACTGTCTTTTTCTCACACAACAAATACAGATTTAAGCTCCGCCTCCTTTATTTGACAGGAGATTAAATTAAAAAACAATCATCCAGCAGTAGCTCATCAACAAAGAAACTACAACATTTGGAAGCAGCTCTCCATGGATGACGTCACAGTCAGCACCACCTGCTGGTCACATGATGCAGCAGTTTGCAACATTCAAGAAATATTAAACATTTTGTTGAAGCAGCACAAAAACAATACAAACCTTCAAGTCTTCTACAGCAGCAGCAGCAGCAGCTTTGGCTAATGTCACAATATATTAAACACCACTGATGTCGTCAGTTTGATCTGAGTTCAAAGGAACTCAGCTCCTGGTCCCTGATCTGTTCTAACAGACGTCAGTGGTTAACTCTGTAGCTAGCTTCCCACAGACACCTTTATTTAGCATCCTGTTAGCTTCCTGAAGCTAACAGGTGGGTCAAGTTGTGCTATACCAGATGAAGTGTGGAGGGGCAGCAGTGAGTCATGTTTTAACAGTTAACGTTTGGATGTTGGGTAGAGTTCTGCCTGGTGACAGTGTTGCTGGAGCAGCACCCCTGACCCCTGACCCCTGACCCCCGACCCCAGACCCTAAACCAGGTACAGGGAAGATTTTTTGATTTAACATTCTCTGTATTAGACAGAAACAGGAAGTAGCTAGGTGAACAGGAGTGCTCGGAGATGCTGAGTGGTTCTTGGTTCCTCTGGTTGTGGGCCCCCATCTTCAGGCCTTGTAATGGCCTGTGTGGGGCCCCCCAGGCAGCCGTCTGGTTCTCTCGTTGACATTGGAGGGGCTGGGGCCGATGCAGGACCTGGGGGCAGGTCTCTTGTCCCTGGATGAAGACAGGGTCTGAGAAGTGGGGGGTGAGGTCACCACGGCTCCCCGGTCCAGGTTCCCATCAGTCTCCACCATGGTGTTAATCACTAAACCAAGAGGGAGGAGGGGGGGGGGGGCCCCGGG